CCGTTTGCATTGTTTCTTGCAATATTCGGTTTATCTTTTCGTCCATTTGTTGCCTTTTATGAATTTTTTGGTGTGTTCTTTCTTCCATTTCTTGCATTTTTTAGTTTGTTTTTTCATCCATTTCTTTGAGGGATTTTCCTATATCCTCTTTTAGGGCCTCTATCATTTTCATGAAAGTGGTTTAAGGTCATTCTCTCCTGCTTCATTTGCATTGGAATGTTGGAGTCTTGCTGGTGTGGAGTCTCTAGAATCTGGTGGTGTCATATTTGTTTTTCTGTTGCTGAGTGTGTTTGTGTATTGTCTCTTTCCCATCTCTTCTTCTAGTGTGTGCAGAAAGAGCCCCTTAGTGGTCTGGTGGTTAGGGGACCAGAGTTCTCTTTTGGTGTGTGCTAACAAGTTCAATAATGTGGTAGTTCTTCTATTCCTTGTCCTTGTTCTGGTCCCGTGGGTAGAGAAGAAGACCAGGAATCTGGGGTGCTTAGCCTCCCACCTGGTCCCCTGGTCCTTTTGCTGGATCTGCTGGTTTCTTGGTGTCATTGGTGGGAGAGAAGTCCTGAAGTCTGGGGTGCTTGGCTCCCACCGGGATTGGAAGCTCTGTGCAGTTCCCAGGCAATCCTCAGGCACTGGAACACAGGCCCCGATGCAGGGCTTGTTGTACCGGGTCCTGCCGGAACAGCTTGTCGAGTATTTATTTCTTAAAAATAAAACATGTAATACTTGCAATCAGAACATTTGTAGAAAGTTGATGAGTTTCTGGGAATGACATGAAGTTGAAAGATTGTGACAGAATATAGAATGAAAGAAACACTAATGAGTGAAGAACACAATGGGAATGTTTATTCCTTACAACTCTACCGACAAATCCTCCTGATGCCCTATAGTTTTCTCCTTAAAAGCAACCAAAAAACCTGTGTCTCCACTGGGAAGGGAGAACAGTTCCCTTATACACACACGCTCACTTTTAAAATGAAATGTTCCCCACAAGAAATGGCATTTGGGCATTTCTGAGAAGATGGCAATCATGCCCCCTTATATTGTTTCAGATTCTTCTAATTTTATTCTGTGCATACAATTCAACACAGTGTAGATTTCCTACACTGTATATCAGTAGAGGGGCAGAGGGGTGACTTAAGGATTTCCACAGAGGTTGGACCCCTTCTGCAAAAGACCAAAAAAATCACAGTTCCTCCTTTTGATTCTTTTGGGATCCAATTTAAAAGTGGAAGTTCAAATTATGTTGTTATTTTTAAAGTGTATTATTAAAAATTGAAAAATCATTCCATTCTTACAATCCTGTGATATTTTATAAAACCCCCAGTTTCTCTGATTCACATGTTAGTATCTGCGTCTTTCTACTACCTATAAAATGTTGTAACAACAATGTCAGTTAAATGTGATTTCTGATTTAATTTGTCACTTGTTCTGAATACCTCATTAGAGAGAAAACAAGAAGCAACTGAGGAATTTACAAACTCATGGTATATAACTGTAGATGCGACATAGTTGAATTGATACTGTTCAAGAACATTATCATACAGCTGAGCAGTGGATAGGACATTTGGTTCCTAGGACACATGTTCCCAAAGGAGAGTATTTGTGAACAGCAGCAACAGAGGCATGACTGCTTTAAGAGAAATGAAGTGAGATAATATATTCAACTGAACTTTCCACAGTTAAATTGCCTGGAAATGTTTGCTACGTGGGTCTTCTACTACATGATTTGGTTTAATATAGTCGAAGATTTTTAAACTGGGCAAAAACAGGGAAATAAATACATTTTTCTCGTGCACAGCTTGAACCCAAAAAAAATAATTTCACACTTAGGGCTTGCTAAGGTGAGCTTCTCATTCTCAACTTTGCAAAAACATTGAGCTTTAATTAAGCCTAAGCCAGGGTCTTCAAGTCATTGTATGAACATGCTGGAAAGTCTTAGTGTGGCACAAAAAATAAAAGACCCAGAGAGAGATAATGGAGTCAAACCTTCAAGCTGAGAAGCAGAAAAGCAAAGCAACTGGTCACTAGTTTACCTCTACTTAAGACAGAAAGGCAATCCTGGCTCCACCCAACTTCAGACTGTAATCCCAGACTACTATGCTTTCCTCAAACTGGCTATAGAATCCTGAACTTCAGTGTCTTCCTATCCTCAATGTGACTGGAGAATGAATGCCTCCTATCCTCAATGTGGATGAAGAATGAATGTCTGATTCTCTACTGAAGACCCTGCTCCTATCTTTTTTAACCCTCTAGTGCTGGGATTAAAGGCATATGATCCCACGTGCTGATACCATCTTTGTATGAGCTATTTCTCTTTAGGACTGCATTAATCTTGTGTAGATCTGGGTTGCTGTCAACTCACAGAGATCCATCTAACTCTTAATCCTGAGTCCTAGAATTAAAGGTGTGTACCACTACCTCCTAGCTTCTGGCTGATGGGATTTAAAGTGTTTGCCTGGATTCTATGGCTTGTGGCTGACTTTGGTATCTGAATCCTCAGGCAAGCTTTAGTAAAACATAAAAGGTATCCTTAGGTACCAGTAAAACTGTCCCCTTTTACCTGTCTATCAATAAAATACAAAATGAAAACCACTGATCTCAAAGTTGATAGAGCAATTACATTCCAAAACATTTTCTACTCTCTGTTGCCTTGTCTCCAGGTGAGGCATAATCAGACACTGGTTCTTAAAAGATACAGCACTGATCACACCATGGAAAATAAACTGTACAAACATGTCTTCATGAAATAATGCATTGATAAAGCTTAGGGGAACATATTGGAGGACTACTTATAGGAGCATGAATCTCAGAACTTACACCACAGTGTTTTCTCCAAATCAGGAAATATGCTTCACCACACTGCTGCCTTCATTCAACTTTTCACCTCCTATATATACAAACAGAATTACTCAAATCCAAGCAGAGCTGGCATATGGATTGGATCAATGCCTATAGATCAGTGACACTTCCCTTTAGGGGATGCTGAAATACTGTTTATTTTTAGCACAGTACTACCTCTATGTGTTGCTTTACTTTCACCCATATTACCTATAGGCTTCAAGTCTTTTAGGAAACATCCAATACTATCTCTGTTTCATGGATACTCATTTCCAGATTGGCAGGAGAAATGAACTTTCTCCCAAATTCATTGCCGTATTTCAAGATCTTATGTCTGTCATATCTTCTCCAATGTTAACTTAGTTTTTAAGGTGATGATAAATGCTTTTAATGCTTATAGGATCATGAACCACCCTATCTCAGCAACACTCAATAACCCTAGATATATTAATCAAACACAAAACGCTTTCCTCAGCCTTTAACACTGGGAAATGTTTCTCTCAAGTGACTAAGTAACAGTTCTAGTAACCAACAAATTGGATTCCAAATGTTTAGAATGTGCTTTGACAGGCACATCACATTCATTTAACAAAAATCTGATTATATCCTTATTGGTGGAGAACATGACCTCCTCAAACACTGTTATTTTTGTTTGTTTGTTTGTTTTCCTTACTGTCTTCAATTACAACATCTGGATTTTCTCATGTAAAGTGAGCCTTAAATCAAATCAGCTAATTGTTGATTGCAGTTGTAAATGTTGCACCATTGTTTCATTAGCAGACAAACTTTGTCAGGCTTGCTTTACCGTGGTCTGAGACTTAACAACTATTGAAAATTATCCTGAAATATTCTACATAGTGACTTTGTGTGTGTGTGTGTGTGTGTGTGTGTGTGTGTGTGTGTGTGTGTGTGTGTGTGTTTTGGGAGATGGTAAATGCTTTTGGTTCTATGGAAGCTGTTCCTAGTGTTGGGAATTTCTACACCATTATAAGCTTAATTTTTAAAAATTGTATTTTGCACCTAAGGTCTCTCCAATACCTTCAATAATAGCATCTATGCATTCAGTTTTGCTGTGAAATCAGCATCAGTTATAGAAGCAAATATATATATATAAAAGCATCATGTGCCTCCTTTTCCTACATCTCCTAGGTGAGAAACTGACCCTATACACTGGCCATTTAGTCAATTAATTTATAAATATCAGCCATGTCTTCTCCTATGTATGATGGATACACACATACAAATTTTCAAACTGTTACATTTATTAGTTTTCCACATGTGTTTTTCTCACTAATAAGGAATGTAGAGGTTAGAAATGTCAGCTAGCAAGTGGTGGCACACTTTAATCCCAGCACTTGGGAGACAGAGGCAAGCAGATCTGGTCTATAGGAGCTAGTTGCATAACAGGCTCCAAAGCTACACAGAGAAACCCTGTCTCTAAAAACCAACCAAACAAACAAATAAGTATAAAAGAAAATAAATGTCGTGGAAATTTATACACAGTGATCATTTTCAAGAGAGTGAAAAATCGTTGCTTGATTCTATAGGAATAATAAAATAATAATAAGGAGGTCTCCTACAGTTTGGTTTGTTCTCAATCATGTGTCAGTTCTTTTACACTGAGAGCAAGTTTCTTAGCTAAGTTTGTATGGAAAACACTGTTCTACTTAATTTTCTGTAATCTGCTATCATTCAGCCCAAACCTCAGATTGTTCATCTTGTTATACTGAGTAAAATGACTAATGTAAGGGCTTGGAAGACCAGAGGAGACTTGCTAAGGTCAATTTTTAGAGCAATGTAGGGATAATGCATGGTTGTTTCCTAACTATTTGAGATTGCTTAGCTGATGGTGTACTGTCTAGAAGCAAGTCACTTCCATAGCATTTGATTTATCCAGTCCTATACTAGAAATTTGACTAATGGAAATGATCTAGTTTTCAATCTTTTGGCTAGACTAGATGAATGTGTTAACAGTGACTATTTTCTTCAATTCTAAAACTCTTAACCCATATTAACTTTCTGTGTTTTTAAGTTACTTTGCCATTTGACTTATTTATAAACCTTGAACCTGTTATTTGTGACAAAATTTGATAACATGATGTCAGTGAAATCTTTTCTATTAAATTAATGAACGAAACGTTAATAGATTGCCTTTCCAGACTTCATCATTTTTAAAAGTTAGTTTTTATTCTTTAAGAAGAGACCCATTGCACCCAAGCATTCACTGAAAGCTATAATACTAATAGAAGTTTTGAAGAAATGAACTGTTAAAGGCCATCTCAGAAGTACACGGATTGAATTCGGGCTTAGCAGTTGTTGTTGTGGACAACTCTACATCTCAGGAGCTTGAGATAATTGTCAACCTTGTGGGAATCCCTGCGCAGGCAGCGAACCTTGTTGTAAATAGCCAAGTCTCTGGATTCTTCATCAACTCCCTGCAGAGATGGAAATTGTGACCAAACCGAGTAGATCTCATTTCCTTTGGCTTCAGGATAGGCCTAATTAAAAAACAGACAATTCCAATCATATATGTGTTAGCATTTTTACATCCTTATTTCTTCCAATTGTTGATTTTATATTTTAGGGCAAGAACAATGTAAAATTTTAGTCAAAATCATGGGTATTGGGTATATTTAGGCAGGGTACATGTTTGTCAGTCATCTAAAAATTGAACAAGAGTACACAGATATGTTTTGTATGAGGCAAGTGATCTGAGTTGAAGTTTGTCTCATCTATGTGGACAAATGCTAATTAGATCCTAGGCTTTTTCCATGGTATGGTGGAAGAGGGAGTGTCTTCTCTCTTACCTAAAGTGCTTATCTGTATCAACAACTTTTTACTTTGTTGTTCTGATAGCGCATCACTTGTTGTCTTATGTTTTGAACTAAATTGCACATATTTGAAACCTTAACAAGGTGGAAGCTTTTGTTGCCTTATTATGAAATAATCACTAAGTCAGTATGTAGCCTCATAGAAACGAAGATAATACCTTGAAATCAGAGTGTGTATTGCATATATTGATGGTTTAATGGTTTTATTTGTATTTTAATTTTTGTGTATATGTTGATCACATGTGCATTCTTTTATGGAAATTACAAAAATATTGCATGTGTTAGCATATACCCAAAATAGTTCAAGATAAATATCAAGTAATTAGTATGTCTGTACTTCTACTTTTTTCATCAGATATATTTTATTTATGTGATTTTCAGAAGCTAATTAGCTATTAATCTCACTAGCACTGACAATTATCTTAACTGAAGAAATTCAAAATACTAAATCAGCTGTAGTAGGTCAAATGATTTATATAAATCAAATGTAATGACATAAGTTTGATATAGGAAACTGGGGTGAAAAACATGTAGAATAAATTACCTTTCCTTCTTTACATGACAAATTAAAGAACATCTTTTTTTTTTAAAAAAGCATGCCTTTTTGAGAGTTTCTGAAACTGTATTGATAACCCATCCTTATCATTCCAATTTCCTATGGATAAGAGCAAAAGTTGGCAGGAGGGTTTCTAATTTGATTTTGATTTTCTTGTTTCTCCCTTCGTACTTTAATTCTGTGGTGTATTTTTGGAAGGGGTATCTAACCACAATGTCATTCATATGCATGCAATTTCTTCAAGAAAGCATTATCTTGTCAGTTTTATAGTATGTTTTCCTTTTTTTGTGGAACGTTTACGCATAAGTGCCCAAGAAACAACAAGCCATTTATGGATTTGTAAAAAACATTGGGAAAGCAACACCTGTCAAACACCATAGTTGAATTCCAAGATTCAGAGACATTAGAATCTACTATAGTATGAATTTGGTACTTGCTTTAATAGACCTCTACAATGTATATTGCCTAGACTTTGTTCTTTAAAAGAAGAGTTTTTCAAAATTTGTTTCTCATTGTAAATATCAGTTTTTGAAAGAATAATAATAGCAATGAGGTTTCAGGGTACTGCTCACCTGGCCAAGTATCTTCTCAATTCCTTCTAGAAGGCGCTTGTTTTGTTCCCCAATCTCTTTCGCTCTTGATATGATAGCATCAGAGGCTTCATGAATACCATCTACTTCAGTTACGAGTTGAAATAGAGGGTCATTCCAGGAGTGCACCAAACTGAGTATCAGGTTCAGAAGGACTTCCGGCTAAGCAACCATGTTGAATAATGATTAAAGTAAGTGAAATATAGCTGAGTTAGTTACATATGAATGTTATTCAAAAAGGTGGAAGTAAAATATTCATTTTTATAACTATGTGTCTATAAATGTGTTTCTAGACCACACATGTTATAGAAAAGTAAAATTTAGCTAGTGGCATATACTTTGAAAAAGTCAAACAAAAAATTGTATTTAAATGACTACTTTTCCTTCTGTATTCATGCCTGTTTATCTCTCTCTCTCTCTCTTTGTGTGTGCGTGCGTGCGTGCGTGTGTGTGTGTGTGTGTGTGTGTGTGTGTGTGTGTGTGTGTGTGTAATTGTATGAACAGACTTTTGGAGCCTTGAAGACTACAAAACAATGTTAGGTGCTATTACTCAAATACAGTTCACCTTGTTGTATAAGCTAGCTTGGAAATTTCCCAGTACTTTAGGTTGACTGGCTAGAATGTCTTTACTTTTCTAGTGCTGAGATTACAAGCATGCAACTACTAGTTTTGTTTGTTTGGTTGGTTGGTTTTTGTGTTTGTATTTGGCAGTGGTGGTAACTGTGGTCAATATTTTGTTTTGTGTCTTTGCTGACCTAGAACATAAATCCACCTATGATGTTATCTTGCTTGTACAAATAAAACCTGTATGAAGATCATAGGTTTGAGCTTGCCATTAGCTAATCACAGAGATTTTGGAGGTCAGTACAGACAGACAAAAAGTGAGTTGCCTGGCCAGAAACTGGAAGTGAGGTGGCTGGACACAGAAAGGAAGTGAGATGGCTGGGTGGAGAGGGAATATAAGCAGAAAGAAAAAGGAACTTGCTCTCTTGTCCACTGAGAAGGTAAGGAAGTAAATGTAACTCTAGCTTGTTCCTTCTTCTCGCTGATCTCCCAGCATTTTGCTCTATATCTGACTCCAAGTTTTTATAATTTAGACCAATTAAGAACACTTTTAACATTCCTAAGTGCTCCACCAAGCCCAGCTACACTCATGTTTGATTTTTTAAGTAAGTTTAGAAGTTCAAATTCTGATTGGCATACTTACATAGAAAAAATAATGTACTTGTATCTCCTTAGCCTTTAAATTAATAGTTATTCTATTAAGATATAAATTCGCTGGGATTGATAGCCTTCTGAAATTCTACCATCTGTCATCATGGTCAGGTTTTTTCTTTCATTGTTTTGTATGTCCATAACAAACCAAATATTTGGTAACACTCTGTAGGTACCAGAAATCAGTTGGTTCCAGGAGAACCTCAGGGAGGATAGATACCACCCATATCAATGTTTAGTGGCCAAAATAATTTCTCACTAATGAATAAAACTGATTATTATGTGAATATATTATTTTTATCTTATTTTAAAATGCTTAAAGAAAGATACAATATAGAGCAAATTACTCCCTTTTTATCACTTCTAGAAGAATGACCCATTAGTTGGTGTGCACAAGTGAAGGATAAAGACACAGCACTGTATTTAAATAAAAACATGAGTGAAAACCACAATAGAGTTTTAAACACCCAGTGTTTGCTCACTTCCCAAATTTAAACTTATCCCTGATTTAAAATACTTACTGTACAGTTGTCTGTTGTGTACTCAAGTAGTAATGAAAATGATAGGTAAAGTGCAATCCAAGGAATGTTACAATAGAAAAATACAAAGGATATGAGGGAATGGAGAAGGGCAAATAAATGGTAATGACAATATTGGTGCCCGGAAGCATGATAGCACAGGAGTAAGAGTGAGAGCTTGAGTTTGATGAAACCACCACCCTTTCTCTACAATCACTGAAACTGATACAAATATAGTATTACCTGTTGGAGCCCAAATTCCTCACCACAGGTGAAATAACAAATACATTGCAACATAAAACTTTTTATAATGAAGAATTGAAACAATATAAGTACTGTACTTTGTGGAGAGACTAGCAATGGAGCATCTTTCACCAAAAATTTTATTTTAGTCCTCATCCTGTTGTTTTAGTTTCTCCTTGGATATCACTATAATATTAATGAGAATGGCAAGGATATAGAACTCAGATAAGACTAATAAATTTGAGAATATATTTTACTTTGGGTACATATATAATTATATATATATATATATATCTTAAAAATTTATATATAAATATACTATATGTATATAGATGTAGTGAGAGAGAGATTAATATTGATTGCTTGAGAAAAGTTAAGTGTGACTACTGTTAATCAAGTTGACCAAAACATTTTTGGAAACAAGTTCTCTCTTTGACATCTCTCTAACATAATCATCTTATGTATGTATTTTGATTTCAGTCATGTTGAGATTGGTGAAGTCATGGTTTATAAAATTGATAATTAGACCTGCTATAACATTAAGACATTATTATAATAAGAGACCTCAGTCATAACTGTAAGAAGCGCAAGAAAATATTTTTTTATTTTTTTGATGCTTCTTCATGAGGAGACTTTCAATTAAGGTACGGAAGAAGGCAAAGAAGTCTAGGGAGAATGCAAATGTTGTTAGAGAAGTAGAAGTTAGACCAGGAAAACCTGAATGTTAGGAAGTGAAAGTACTATGGTTGGTCTGTAATGGACACTGCCAATGGAGGAATTCCTGAAACATTGCATAAATGCAACTGAGTTTGCATTTCTTACATATGCATTAATGTCAATTTATTCATGATCATGAAATCCATTTCAAAGTTTCCTACAGAATAACATATACAATGTCATTTTCATGGGCAGCTCATGGCTCGGTCACAATATTATTAAGAATGTCATTTTACTCTTATCTCCTCTATAATGTGCTTTTGTTTTAGAATATCACTTTTCCTCTTTTTTGTTTTTCATGTATGATTACTATAACTTTATCAGTGTTCTAATAACCTAGAAAAGACCAAAACCTGTGTACTTCCTTAATTTTTTCAGGAATAAAATGGGATGAGAACTCACAGGGACCTGCTGGGCTTCTTCCTTGCCTTCAGGGGTAGCCAGGGAAGAAGTGGGGCAGTCACTGATGGCCTTGGCAATAAACTCGTGATCTTGAGCATACTGTTTATCCTGGAGATGATAGACAAATCCCGTTAACAAAGTTTGGGAATTAAAAAATATATAACTAAAATAATAACTCACCTGTTGTATATTTATGTTTGAAATTGGCATAACACTTGAAATTAAAGTAGTAACACTTTTCCTACTTATTTCCCAACTGTAGTCATATTTTTTCTGACCATGAATATCTAATCTAACAGACAATTCTCTATTGTCTTGTTTCCTTTTCCTTCTTATAAATTACTATTGAGAAAACAAGCATTAAAATACCTAAAATACAAAAATCTCTTTTAAATGTCATTTCTCATATCTTAGCCAAATGCCATAACATGTGTTATCTATATTACTTTATTTATCATTTCCCATGGCTTCAGATTGATTTCATTCTTTTAACTAGTTATTATAAAACACAGCTTTTCATTCAAGTCTTTATAAATCTATATACTTGAATAGCACAAAGTTCTTCATAAATACTGAATCTAATTATGTGGATTGTGAAAATGTAAAGTACAAAACACTGGGCATATAGCTTTGAAAATCTTTAAACAATGCACAATTAAAATAGAAAAGTTATTTAATATATAACTTATAATTAATATTTAATCATTCATATAACTTTATAATTTAGCTTATAATTATAAGCTAAAAATCAGTAAAAATTCTGAAAATTTAGAAGAATTTCTGGGTAGATTTCAAAAGTAAACTATGATTAGTCAATAACCGAAAGAAATGCTAGTGAGTACAAAGAACATTATGTATTCGTATTTATTGCCACTGATGAGCCACTTTCTGGATACCTACTGATGTACTCAAACTGTCACCAGCCATGAATTTGTAGACTGATTCAAAGAAATAACCTAAGTCCTCTGAAAGACCTTTATCAGCAAGGGAAGACTGCTTACTATTTCCACGATGTTCCCCTTCACTGGCAATCTGCAGAGCACTAATTGAAAAATTCCCCTGGAGCCTGGACCCACACGTGCAAGACTCAGAATTTAGAAGTCTTCTTCAACTACACTGAGCACGTTATATCTCAAGTTTAAGTTTCAAAACATGAATTACCAAAAAAAGTGAAAATCATTTCAATTTGCAGAGCTTTAAGATTTCATGAAATTGCCCCATTCTTGTTTCAGTTTTTATCAGCTAACATTTCTTTTTCCCATGAAGATGCAATGCTTGAAGTCTGCATCATGGTTTAAGTTGTACTATAGCAGAGAGACCCTTTTCAGCAGATGCCAGAACGGAGTGAAGTGCTTACCAATTCAATGAACATATCTGCAGACAGCATATAAATGTAGTGAGAAAGCATGATCACCCGGTCAAACAGCTCCTGGAGGGGCATCTGGCAATTCCCACCAGGGCAGATTGGCAGGGGGTGCGCATTTTGGCAGAACAGCAGGTTAGACATCACAAGCAGCAGGAGTGTCACTGCTAAGTAAACACAGGAACCAGTGTGAAATGACTTGCTCAACTCAAGGGAAACCTTACCCATCTTTAGCACTTTACCTGTATGATTGCATCTGTGGGGAAACAAGACTAGGCATCTTCCACATTGCAAGTTTACCCATATATTGACTTTTTCAGAGATATGTAGCTTGAGTAGGACAGATATTGTCATTTGTATTTGACTCAGAAGTGCTTATGCACTTTGCAAACATTATGAGCATAAATTAGTCTAAAATACTGTATTAAGCCAATCTTTTAAGACAATTTGATGTTGTGGTAGTTTCTTCTAGTCTTGAGTAGTCACATTCTCTAAGAAAATTACTATACAATATTGCTAAATAATCATTAGGTGAAAACTTAAAATGCAATTGGTATATATTTCTTATAAAATACTGCTAATGTTCCAAAAACATACTTCAAATATATTTATGTAATGCAAAATATATAAAATGTATACATGTTTGTATGTGTCACATGCATGTGTGTGTGTGTGCTCATACATGTGTATGTTAAATTTGATAATGTATCAATACGTATGAGAAAAATATTCTTTGCAGATAATGGAGCTGTAGAGGTAACTCGTGTAAATTCATAACTAGTTTTATATTCTCTAACTCTGAGTAAACATTTCTGAACATGTATCATCTGAGTGTCTTAAGTTTAAGATGAGATAAAATAGAAAAAGGGTTTGTTATACATGTTACAAAACAAATTTTGTGATGCTAATAACTCTTTTACTTTTTAATCACATCAAGAAATTAAAGATAATTGACTAGTGCTAGTCTCCTTCTTTTTCCCTTTCTATTGAAATGTCATTTAGCTTCAACCAAATTGTCAGAGAGTGTAAAACAGACATCTACTATAATGTTGATAACATTATTTTTAAACTGCCCAGCTTATACAGAGATTTGGCAATAAGAAAATATTTCTTTCTTCCTTCTAGTGTTTGATAGGTATACCCAATGTTCTACTAGTCTGTGTTCGGGCAAGTTATTGGTCTCATCAACACTAGCTTTATGAGTTGAATTGCTGCATGTTCTCAAGCTGACTTTGCAGTAGAGAATATTTCAGAGCATCCATTGATTCTACCCGTTAGCTACCTTTCTTACTTCCATTATGTTAGCACAAATGATCTCTAGTTAGTGTCATATCCCTGGAAGAAGTATATTGCTTCAATTAGAAAATCACTGGTACAATGGTCTGTTAGACTTAGGTATGAATAGTTCCTAGATCAATTTATGAATTGATATAGGAAATAAACTCCTCTTAAACTCCTCCATTTTTAACTTAAAACCAACTGCATCTCTGAGATACTGACCTCAGAGTGGGTGGTGACTCATAGCAGGAGTGCAAGGTGATGCTCCCATCTCCTTCTGTGGAATATCAACATCCCCACCACCCTTGCTCTAAATCTAGTTGTCTTTGTAATTTTGTTATTTGTTGCTACAAATAAAAGATCGAGTTAATTTGCACATCACTACAGCTGTCGTGGGTCCATGTTGGTTCTAATCGTGTCATGTCTAGAAAAAAGCAGGTATTCCCCACTCCCCTCTAAAGTTGAACCTGCATTAGGTAAAGTTTTACACTAGTGACCCCCTTAACCCCTCAAGAATACTGAGAGAGTCAATTATTCACAGAACTGCAGCACATACCTTTCCGGTCTGATCCCTGGCTGTTCATGGTGATGATGATTCCTGGGAACACACTTCACCAAAGAAGGCCTGAGAGAACCACAGCTTTCTCAACTTCAGATATTGGCTTTATAAACCTTTGACATCTTCATGAATATATATAATCAGGTACCCTCTTCCACTTCCCCGTCATCTATTTCCGTCATTAAGATTGCCCCCATAATTTTAAACATCAAGTGGTATTTTATTTCTTATTCATATTCAGGAAGACATATTGGCCAGAAATGAAGGATTTTGATTAATCACAGCAAAAGGAAATGAGAGAAATTCTGAGGTGAGACATTGAGTCTAGTTTGAGGTAGAGAAGCTATAAAACTTATGGAAGGTGATTCCTTTAAAAGTTGCCCTTATTTCTTCATAGAATACGCAACATGTATCGTGACTTTTGACACACAAAATACCTTCAAACAATGTTGACCACAAAGTTTCTCATCCAAGATTACTGGGTGAATTAATAGATTCCAAATGTTTGTGCTAAACACCAGCAAGTGCGGACTTAAGCTTGAAAGGGCAGAATTTTCTCTTCCCTCTAACACCTTGATCCCTTTGTTTACTACTTTTAAAAATTACATATAACTTTTGATTATAACACATAGTTTCATATTTTTTCACTTGATTTTAGTATGTGAAATTGTGTTGTCACCCTAAGGTATATAGCAAACAACAGTTGCTTGGAGAGAATAAATGCTAAAATAGCAGACACTCTTTTATAATGAGCTTAGATATAGGGAATATTTTTGCTTGACACAAATTCAATCAACCACAATTCTAGACACTATCTCCACTCACCTGTCATGACTCATGGTCTATCTGCCTCTCCTAACTGCTAACCATATTAGGGCAAGCTGACAATATTGCATTTGTCCATGCATAAGTTCCAGTCACCTTTTAGAGATTACCTAAGTAACATTATTAAAGTCAATAATAATGAACTTGCTGATGACTTTCTTTAATTTTGGGGTTCATGCATCTGAAGCAGTTTATGACCTTTAGTTTTGGATTTACTGAATATGGACTGAAAGATGCAGTATTATTTTCCCAAATTGTATCTTCTTTTGGTGCTTTCTTCTCTATCTTTTAAAGAGATTTTTAAAAGTGTTTTGTGACACTTGTCTTGTGTGTGTATGTGTGTGTGTGTGTGTGTGTGTGTGTGTGTGCGTGCGTGTGTGTGTATACAGGTGTGAGTATGACAACAAATACCACAGATTCCAGAAGAGGATATTACATGCCATAGAAATGGAGTGAGAGGTGTGACTAAGCCTCCAGAGGAGGTGCTGGGAACTGAAGTTGGGTCTTCTGAAAAGTCAGTAAATGTGCTGCTGAACTTTGAGCTATCTCTCCACCCTTTGTGCTTTCAGTTTCACATACATGTGCCTCAGTGAATATCCTAGTTTGGGCTCTTATGGGAACTTAGAAATCTTACTCAGGAGTACCATCCTGAGTTGCTTTCTTGGTAAATGCCTTAGTTTTCTTCCTACTAGCCTTGGTGTAATCAATGTCATGTTGCAAACCAGAATAATAAAGTGTTACACCTCATGGAGCTACCCATCTATCTCAATGTAGGTTTAAGGTCCTTCCTGAATGCATACTTAGTATCCATTTATCCTCCTGGATAAAAAGTCTAAATGGTACCAGAAGAAAAGATACACAATTCTGTGCAACATTCTCCTTCTTTTCAATAAATTGCAGCATAAGGAAATCTGCCATAAAATGGAAACTGACAACATGATCTTGAAACTGAAATATGTTGTAACTTTTTTGGATACTGGGAAAGAGAAAAAGTGAATGATGTTCATTGATTCACTGAACTGCAACACAGCACATTTCCCTGTTTAGAATTTCAATATTCCCAGACCCAAATTTTCTGTAAATGGAGATATCAAAGTTACTAAATGAATCACAGTCATATTTCATGAAAATTCATAACCATCACATTTTTGTAAGCACTTTATATGTTTCTATTTTCCACTTAATATTTGTGTATGCTACTTTGTAGATATTTCTCTTTGTCAAAGTGTGTCCTTAAATTAGAAGTAAAGAACAAGGGATATGTATGTGCTCTTTTTTAAATAAATTCTTTTTATTTAGAAGCACTCTTATTTACATATCAATCTGCCCATTCCCTTGCCTTCCCATCCTCCCATGCTCCCCACCGACCTACCTCCCACGCAGCCCGCCCACTCCCCAAGAATAGTGAGGTCCTTCACAGAGGACCATCAAAGTACTTCACATCATTTGGGAGAGGGCCTAGGCCCTCTTTCTTGTATCTGGGCTGCAATATTTTCCCTCCATAGGGAATGGGCTCTAGGGATAAACACTGGCTCCACTGTTAGATGTCCCATAGACTACCCTGCCCTCCTAGCCAGCAGCCACATTCAGAGGGCTTGGTTCAGTTCAATGCTGGTTCCCCAGATTTACCACTAGGGTCTTTATGTTCTTACTAGGTCAGGTCAACTATTTCTGTGGGTTTCTCCAGCACAGCTTGGCTCCTTTGTTCATTGCTTCACCCTCTCTGCAACTGGATTCCAGGAGTATGGCTCACTGTTTAGCTGTGGATGCATGTTTCTGCTTTGATCAGCTACTGGATGAAGTTTCAAGGAATAGAAACCATGGGGGAAGGGCATCACTCTACAACACTGCCTTGATACTTAGTTGGGGTCATCACTGTGGAGCCCCTAACTTTTCCCCTGTGTCAGACCTCTCCCCAAACCTATACTGGCTCACTCTATCAAGGCATCTCCTTTCTTGCTCTACTCTATCCCTCCCCCCTCTCAGTCCTCCTGTTGTCCCCCTACCCTGTCCTTTTCTCCCCCTTGCCCTTTCCCACCTCCCTCCTCTCTCCTCATGTACTCCCAATTTGCTCAGGGCTCTTATATAAATGGATCAAAGATGTCAACATAAATCTAACCACACTGAACCTCTTAGAAGAGAAAGTAGGAGGTACCCTTGAAGGAATTGGTAGAGAAGACAGCTTCCTGAACATAATACCAGTAGAAACGACATTGAGATCAACAATTAATAAAGGGAATCTCTTGAAACTGAGAAAATATGCAAGACAAATGACCTAATCAACAAGACAAAATGGCAGTCCACAGAATGGGAAAAGATCTTCACCAATACCACATCTGACAGAGGACTGATTTCCAAAACATACAATGAACTCAAGAAGCTAGTCACCAAAACATCAAACAATCCAATTAAAAAGTGGGGTGCAGAACCAAATAGAGAGTTCTTAATAGAGGAATCTAAAATGTCTGAAAGACACTTAAGAAAGTGCTTAACATCAGGGAAATGCAACTCAAAACAATTCTGAGATACCATCTTACACCAGCCAGAATGGCTAAAATCAAAAACACTGTGACGGTCTATGCTGGAGAGGAAGTGGAGAATGAGGAACACTCCTCCATTTTTGGTGGAAGTGCAAACTTGTATGGCCACTTTTGAAATCAGTATGGCAGTTTCTCAGGAAAATGGGAATCAGTCTACCTCAAGATCTAGAAATTCCACTCTTGGGCATATACCCAAAGAATGAACATTCATACAACAAGGACATATGATCAACTATGTTCATTGCAGCGTTGTTTGGCTTGTTTGTAATAACCAGAACCTGGAAACAATCTAGATGTCCCTCAGCTATTCTCAGAATAGAGAAAATGTGGGACATTAACACAACACAGTATTACTCACTGGAAAAAAAAAAGTGAATCTTGAAATTCACAGGCAAATGGATGGAATTGGAAGAAAACCCAATCACAGAAAGTCAAGCAGGATTTGTACTCAGTCAGATATTGATATTACATTTAGAGAAAAGGACTACCAGCCTACAATCTATACCACCAGAGAAAATAGGGTACGAAGAGGACCTAGAGAGAAGAATGCATGGTCCCCAAAAGACAGGGAGGTAGACGGATCGCCTGAGCAAATTGTATGTACTCTTATATTTCAAAGTTCATTTGCTTCCAGTTTAGATTTTGATGGCTCCTAGTAAGACTGGCCAGACAACGAATTTGTTTCAGACACATCAGATTTGTTGAGAACTTGCATTTTATTTGTGTTTCTTTTATTTACAGTTTCACTGTTAGTAATAATTTTGTTTTTCTTCTTCAATTTAATATATAACACATATCACCTGAAAAAGTCATATAGGATATAATGAAAGATCTGAAGGAGGAAAAGAAATGGTTGCTTAAAATTCTCCTAATAAACTTAATAAATGTATCTAATGGGTATTTTAACATAATTAGTAACTAATTCATTAGCAGTAAAATTTTCTAATTAAAAGTATCTTGTTTATGAATTTAAAATTGTTAAACAGCTGTCATTTCAAACTTGGTGTAAATGGTCTGACAAATAATCATTATTTTCAAAATAATAGGTCAGATGATATGAAAAAAGTCTTGGATAAAGGGCCAGGGCTAATCTCTTGAATAGAATTCTTTCCATGGTAGTCAAAATGTAATAGGTTAATTTCATACTTTTATTTATGTTAACTTCATAAATATCTGCACCTTTTTTCTTCCTAAGTGCATGCCCATTGCTAACCTTTGACTAAGAATGAATGATCTCAGCACCTAAATCCATATTCTGCTGTCAGTCTTGAGGACATTTGGTTCTGAAATAAACCACAGAAGAATTATTTCAAAATATCCCCTGTATTTTGGTTTTTCTCTCTGTTTGTTCTATGTTTTCTTTATCTTGTCACATCACTTGTCTGTTAGCTAATGCTGTAAGCTCCACATGGGCTTGTTCTAAAAAATCTATGTCTTTGTACACATTTTAATTCTTAGCAGAATAGTGTCATATCTAAGGACAATGTGCTCAGAGATTCAATAGTCACTTTTGGAACTTTATGGAATTTTATGTTGTTTTTTTCAGGTAAAAGTATAAAGTGTTTAGTTGTACATTAATAAGAAGGGAGAAAGCTGCTGATTTTGTTGGCTATAAATTCTTTAATATCAATATTGCATGTGTGTACATATCCATTTCTGATCCAATGAAAAGTAGGTGTGAAGAGAACCCACTTTCAGCA